CCCGGTGTCTGCGCTGTCGAGGTACTCGAAGAGTTGGTCGACGCCGGTGGACGGGATGGGGGTCTTCTCGGTGAAGGACAGACAGCGGGAGTAGAAGTCCGCGGGGATGCCGCCCGTTAGGTCGAGGATGGACTGCTCGGCCCATTGGGCTACGAGGCCTAACCAGTCGGTGAAGACGATGACGGTGGAGTTGGTGTGGCCGGGGAATTGGTTTTCCAGGCCGAGAGCGTCGTATTCGGCTTTGGTGCCGAAGAAGGTGCCGGAGATGACGAGAACGTGGTCGAGGATTGTGCAGATGCTGGCGAATTTACGGGTGAGGTCGGGCTGGGAGATGAAGCTCTGCCATTTTTTAAATAGGTCTGCACGCGATGAGGTGCTTCCGAGTCCGAAGGTGAAGGAGTATTGGACTGCGGAGCCTGGTTCGGGTTCGGTGCGGAAGACGAACTCGGTGACGACGCCGAAGCTGGCGCCGGCGCCTTTGATGGCGAATAGTAGGTCTGAGTTCTGCGTAGAGGAGGCGCGCACCACGGTGCCATTGGCGAGGACGACTTCGGCTTCCAGGACGTGGTCGAGTTCCATGCCGTATTGACGCGCCGCGGGGCCTAGCCCCCCGATTGTTGCGTGCCCTCCGACGCCGATCTGGGGAGAGGTGCCGTGCGCGATGGCCCGTCCACCGGCGTTGTGGAGGTAGTCGTCGAGTTCGCCGTTGAGCATGCCGGCGCCGAAGGTGGCTTGGTAGTTGGTGTAGTTCATGGAGAAGGATTTCATGTTCTTGAGGTTGATGCTGATCGCGCCATTGGTGCCGCCAAGGCCTAGGATGGGGTGAGGTTAGTACGGGGAGTGGCTGACGAGCGAGGGGAGTGAATTGGTACCATAATTGCCATAGCTGTGGCCACCACTCTTGGCCTGGACTTTGTAGCCCAGCGATGCAGCGCAATTGACGATCGAGGACACTTGCTGAGTGGACTTGGGGAAGGCCACGGCTGCCGGCGTGACGGGCCAGTTCAGGTTGTAGACCTGGACGGCGAGAGTCTGATAGAGAAGGTCGCCATCAACGGCGACGAGGGTCGGGTCATTCTGCACCGCGGTGAGAAGGCATTGACGAAGAGTAGATGTCGAGGCTGCTGTCGACAGTTGCAGGACTAGGAGGAGGGAGGAAATAACACGAAGGAAGGAGAAGGCCATTGTGGACAGCATTCCACGAGGATGCGCCTTGAGGTAGCTAGGGAGGGCGACAACACTGCAGTGACGGACTGCAATGCGTGCGCCATGGGGCAGCAGAAATAAATATGAATAGAACTGGGAAGATCAGGAGGGTCCGGCAGAGAGGAATGTCAGGCGGGGGCTTCATCATGCCAATGGAGCATGGGTGCGCGGACGAGTGCCTGAAAGGTAGACCCAATCAGACGAGTCGACAAGAATAACCCCCGAAGCCACTGTATTACATGGTCGTTAACCCCCTCTCTCAGCTGAACAAGTACACTAATCGGAGATTATACATGGCTATCGATTAGGGACAGGGGTGCCCTTGGTTGAGGATGGCTGTGATCGGAAGAGGGATGCATCTCAGCTGCACAGATGCAGAGCCCGATCAATTTCAAATGCCTTTCTGCCAATCAGACGAGACGGTACCAGAGGGGGATGACCAGAGGAGAAGAAAATTCAACCCGACTGAGCAGCTGGGGCCACTACCCGTAGAGTCTAAACTCATGGCTTCGTACAGAGATGCAGCAATACTAGCCCGCTAGCCACTTAGCAGATGCATCACCCGGACCAAGTGCTGACAACTAGGCCGGCTTAGGCAGGTGATAGCCAGGGGAGAGATCTAGGCACATCAATCACGTCAGGAGGGATGCGCGTGAACTGAATCTTCAGGAACCAATGCGGGGAACGAGATGCCAGATTATTGGACAACAGTGCGCAAGACACCTGCAAGAGAGGAGGACAGACTAGATTGCAGTCGCGCTTTGGGCTGTTAGACTGAGAAGAGATTGTGCTGGTCAGTGCCAGTGATGTCCGGATCGATCGTCCGCGAGACCCCGAGGCTAGTGGTGGCGCCGATAGTGGGCGCCAACTAAAGCTTGCCGGGAAGTGGGAAAGGGGCGGGCCAGGGAGAAGATGATGGATCAAGGGAGCGGATTTTGCGGCATGGGGCTAAATAACGCTGCAGCTGAGCCATAATTGCCTCTGAGCATATCCCGAATCTTGTAGGAGCATGGTCTATATGGGAGAGATGAGAGAGCATTGGAATTGAAGAGAAACGGAAGACTAAAGTTGATTGAAGCAGTGATTAGTTTGGATAGAAACGAATTGGGTGGTAACTCAGCACGTGGGAAATTCGAATCCCGTGGATCGCGATTATGCGGTCGGGAGTCTCTATTGGGGTAAGCCGCCAAGGGGAAGACTTCTGCTGTACACCATCAATTGACTTGACGAAGATACTGACCATTTACTTCTTGATGAATGAATATGTCACTTATATGGGTTGGATATTGCACATATATTTAAGAAAAATCCAATTCAGGTAACTACAATCAACCCACTATCCCATAAGAGCATTACTCCCGAATCTGACGCCATGAATCTACAAAGTAAACAGCCAAATCCCGATCGCCCAACCATCATTGCAAATCGACCACCTTCACCTCAGTTCGCTCAAAATGCTCCACTTCCAACATCTTAGCCGTGGCGGGCTCCAGATCTGGGCTCGGATAAAAGTCAATCTTGCCGCCCGGCTTGACTACTCCTGTCCGGTCCAGGAATGTGCGCCCGCGCACATACGGATCCAGCTGCCAGTAGTTCTGGCGCAGCGACTCGATCGTCTCGTTCCGTTGCTCTTGGGCCGTTGTGGTAGCGGCCGCGTCTTTTCGCTGGCTGGTGGAGACCCATTTCGAGGTCCGCAGCAGCAACTCCTCGCCAATCTTCAACCGCTCGGCGTAGATGCGGTCGCGGGTTTCCGTATCCGCCATCAGCTCGTTCTCACCGGCCACCGGCTCGACGTATTCATAGGTCCAGTCTTCCTTGCCCTTCAGTTCTTTCACAATCTGCTCCGGGGCAATGAACTTCTCCAGATCGGACACCTTGTTGGTAAAGTTCACTTTCGACACGATCACCGGGTCCATCCACCCCTTGATAATCTTCCAAATTCCTGTCTTGCGTTAGAGAGGACCAAGTAAGAAGACTAAAACTGCAAACATACCGGAGAAGACCCAGGGGGCATTGTGAATGAGCATGTATCCAAGTGATTCGGGGTAGTTCTCCTGGAAACATTCGATGATGAATTTCACCGGGGCATATTCCTGGTCATGGTCAGTTCCCCGTGCAGCTACCCTTATGATTTGCAGAGCAACTTACCATGTTGGAAAGGCCAAAGCCAGTCATATCAAAGATGATGGTCTGCCACATGGATGATTAGCCTGGTACAATATATGGGAGGCCATGGAATCAAAAGCTGGCTAGACATACCACTGTCTCCTGGGGAGGCGCCAGCAATAACCGGGCTGTCTCGATCGTATGCAGGATGAAGCGATTGATCACTGCCTCGCTCTGCTTCGAGGGTTGATGGAAGCGAACGCGCACCACGAGAACAGGCCGGCCATCCCGATCGGTCCCGTGCATATAGCACTTCCCCATACGCATTTGGTCCAAGAAGTCCTTGCACTCCTTGGCTGCGTGCGTATCCACCGTGTTCTGAGACGTGACTAGTGCCGCAAGTTCGGGGTTCGCGATCACCTTATCGTCGACATGCTGATCCTTGCGCCAGACAAGCGCCCTCAACATCATACCAAAGGCCTTGCCAACGTCCCACTTGCGAGCGCGCAGGAAGCGAAGCAGAAGGACGTCTGGGGAGTCATGTTTGGCAGTATACAACAGACCCGAGCGGAGTTCGTCGATCGAGGTGTTGCTCAGCGACTCCCGGACGGACTTGATGTCAGGGTTGCTCATGCCATTTTCCCGGAGGACTCGGGACAAGTCTTCTGTGAAAGCCGTTTGGCCATGAGCGGAGACGACGGTGTCAGCTCGGGAGAGCGACGTGCTTGGACGTTGGTCGGGCTGGGTCTGTGCCGAGGTATCTCCACTCTGGAGGGACTTCACGTCTAGCAGGGTAAGGACAATAGACCAGAGCTGTTGTAGTTTGGCCTCTTGATCCTGAGTCAGATTGCCGACGTGGCCGGGTTGGATGCGGTTGGTAGTCATGATGGGTGAAACTGAGTGTAGAATGCAGTCGTGGAGTTTCAAATGAGACGGTGGGTTACGATCTGCTTATGTAGCATCGTGCTTGTCAGGCGACTACAGCCCGGCCAGTTGCATATGAAACTGCCCGTCTTTGAGACAAACGAGAAACCTCGGATCTCGATAGCGAGTTGCAGGCGCCTCAGGGGTTTCGCTGGCCGACCCGTGGTTCTTGCTAGGGGATCGTCGCCGATCGTCCGCTCGGACTGCGGGGAAAGATTCTCATTTATCGGTTGGTTCGTGTTTGATGGACATCCCCCTCCCCTTTCAGGCTATTGCAATGATGAAATGTGATGCCCTGGCCATTAATAGCAGCAAGGTCTTGGGTGGGGATTGACCGGCGCGGCTTCCACTGGCAATCAAATCACTTGTTAGTCTCTCTCGACTTTTGGGAGGTTCATATAACTCAGGACCATGGACCAGGGCGGTACCTTAATTATTTCCCACTTCAATGGCCATTTTCAATCTTCGGAAATAAACATCGCTTTTCTTGGAATTAGAGATGATCGGGAGTTACAGTCTCATGCATGGTGATGGAGCAGACGTTGCAAGGAGAAAGAGAGTTGTTGAGAAGGTTACTTCCCACCCTGCAACCAACCAACCCCTCACCGCTCGTCATTCTTGCGACGCAGATCGGCAACGCTCAGATCAACGCTTTCTGAGACACGAATCAAATGGCAAATGGCACACTGGTCCATCCCTCATATCGAAAACTGCCTCGGCCGATTGCCTGGTAGTGCTTCGGTAGGAGTATCGTGCTTATCATGATGCTGCTTGGTGATTCTCTTGCAGCTGATGCCTCGACCCTCCTCTGCATCGGCCTCATCACGGTGGCCATCTATCGTCTTATCCTCCATCCTCTAGCCCATGTCCCTGGACCTTGGATTTTTTGCATCTCGTCCATTCCCCAGTGGATCATCGTCTTCCTCGGTACTGAGCCACAGACCCTTGCTTATTACCATCGCCGATACGACACTCGAGTACTGCGCATCGCCCCGAATCAGGTCTCCATCTCCGACCCCCATGCCTTGGCTACTATCTACGTGGCTAATGGGGGCTTCATGAAAGATGCTCGGTATCGTAACTTCGATGTCAACGGGCAGCCCACCATATTTTCTGCTATTGACAAAGCCTACCGCGATAAGCGCGCTAAAGCTGTCCTGCCACTATTTGCGCCTGTTAGGATACGAGAAGCGGCAGGGGCACAGAATGTCCAGCAATATATCGAGCAGTGGATCGCTCGCTTGGCCAGTGAAAAAGATCGCGCTGTGAAAACCGCATCATACCGTGTTGACATCCTCGATTTGGCGTTGCGACTTTCGATGGACGTCATGACAGGCTACATGTTCGATAGGTCGTACGGAGCGCTAACCGAGGCCGTCGACTTGGATACTCACTCACCATCGACGAAATTCTCGGCAAGTGCCTGGCTGCAGGCTATCGCAGCTTTTGGGTATTATTCCATGTTCCCAAATTGGCTGTTTTCGAGGATATTGTCTCTCCATGTCGCCATTCAGGATCGTCATTGGGGAGCTTCAATGCGTCGGGTCGATCAATTCGCAAGATCGATCGTTGAGAGAAAGGGGAAGACGGAACCCGTTACCTTGGCACACACTTACCATGGTCGTCTCCGTACGGCTGGAGCGATGGAAAACGAGGTCATTGGTATTTGTGAAGGGTCACTATTTGCCGGGACCAGCTCAACCGGTCAGACTCTGGCGACCATTTTGTTCCACCTTGTCCGCCAGGCGCATGTCCGCGAGCGCCTTGAGCAAGAGTTGGGCGAATCGAGCTCATCTGACCTGCAAAGCCTTCCGTATTTGCGAGGCGTGATTACTGAAGGCCTGCGACTCGCTATGACCAATCCTGCACCTCTGACCAGGGCTGTGCCTGACGGCGGATGTCACATAGATGGTGTGTATCTTCCAGGCAGGGCCTCGGTCGGGGCATCGATATACGTCTTCCATCATGACCCCGATGCGTTTCCTGATCCTTTTGCGTTCAGTCCCGAGCGATGGTTGGCTGATGAGACTGACTGCGCAACGCGCGAGCTGTGTTACTTTCCCTTCGGTCTGGGATCGCGGTCGTGCATTGGGAGGAATCTGGCGCTACTTGTATTGTACGAAGCTGTTGCTGCCACTGTGAAGTCTGGTGTCCTTGAAGGGGCCAGTACATGCGAGGAGAAGATTGTAGTAAACGGCTGCTTCAATGGCGAAGTCCAAAACCATGCGATCGAAATCCATTGGCCGATTACGGAGAGTCAGAGCAACAAGGTTTGCATGTAAATTCAATTCTCGACCCAATCGGGAAACAGCCTCACCGGGAGCTGCGGATGCCATCATGGATGCAAATTTCTATTCTCACATCATATACGGATTCTCTCTTCAATCGTATCCTACAAGTGACCTCTGACCTCTTGATAATTTGCTGTGACTATTTCTGATACATTCAAACCTTATCGCGATGTCACTCGTTTACCTGCCACCTGAGTTGGTCCCAATAATCGCGGGGCACCTGAAAAGCGAAACCGACCTCAACTGCTTCGCTCAGACCAGCCAATGTCTATATCGCTGGGTCAACCCATGTCTATATCGATGCGCGGTGCAGAACATGGGCGAAGCCCTTCTTCATTGGGCTGCTAGCAAAGGACAGCTACAAACCCTCCTGAGGCTACTAGCATTTGGAGCGAAACTTCCAGCAAACACTCGGATCACTACTACGGATTCACACCCTATCTCTACAGCCGCCAAATATGGCCACGTAAACGTCGTCCATGCTCTATTGGATCTAGGAACAGATATAGATTATCCCGCTGGCGTTCATGGAGAAACACCGCTCATAATCGCTATCCGTGAAGGGCACTTGCCTGTCGTCCGAATGTTACTCGAAAGGGGCGCAAATCCTACTCTTCCCACGAAGCTTGATCACACGCCCCTAGAGGTAGCCACGACTACTGGAAGACTAGTTGTGGCTGAATGCCTCATCTCCCATGTGAAGGACCTACCACATACTGCCGAGGTTGATAGTCTTGGAAGGGCATTGTGTGCCGCTGCACGTAGCAAACAGATCGACATCATGAAGATGCTGCTCCGCAATGGTGCTCATGTCAACTATATACATCGCCAACAACTTGAGACAGCCCTCATCAATGCTATTCGGGCTGGAGACAATGAAGTTACCCGCTTACTGCTCGACCACGGTGCGGACCCGATGATTGGACTCGAGACATGGGATAGTCCACCCCTGGTGTGTGCGGCCTGGCGTAACCACCAATCAATAGTCGAGATGCTGGTTGAATATAACCCTAGGGTGAAGCGCCACTTTGTGGACGCCATGTTTGAGGCTGCTAATATGGGACTAGAGGATATGACGAATTACTTCTTGCTGAAAGGTGCATATCCCGATCACCTAAGGAGTGGGTACCGAACGCCTCTGTCTTGTGCTGCCCAGCATGGTCATGTAGGCGTTGCCAAAGTCCTGCTCGCAGCCGGGGCGGACATTAAATTCAGTGATAACCAAGGACGTACGCCTGACTGGTATGCCTCATGGCTTGGTTGTCCCGAAGTGCTAGCACTATTCCGAGAACACATGCTGCCTGGTGCGTTATAAGATTAGATGGGAAATAAACTATTCGAAAAAGGAAGAATAAATTACAGGAATATGTGTCGCCATTTACTGCACCGTACGAAACGACGCAAGAATGATCACAAAGCCACACATTGGCCTTCCTTATTTAGCATAGCTCGTCCTGAGCATACGAAAACACGATAAATGCAGGCATATACAGAAGGTTCATGTCAATATCCTCCCGGTCCCTTGTTGTTAGACGTCAGTTGTAACATGTCAGAACACCTGAATTATATGTATATCGCTCAAGAATCATGGTACATGCTCCATCCGAGAACATTGAGAGAAATTCGAGCTGCATAACAGAAGATGAAAACTGACCAAGACTGAATCGCGCTTGCAGAGGAGCGGCGCAGTCTTTCCTCTATTCACTATTGGTTCCGCGGTTCACCTCAGCAGGCATTCAACAATATTTATCTATCACTCCGGCGCTTATCATGCGAATCATTCTGACCCATTCTCGGTGCATGATACATGGTGTTAGTGACTGAGTCATACATTTCTCCGGAGAGGCCATGTCGCATAGAGGAAGTACGAAGTAATCTGTAGTTGATTCAAAGCCTTTTCACCTCTTTATCGGTATTGAGAAATGACGCTAAATCCGGGATTCAGCTTCCACTGTGGACTTTCCGGGTCTAGAACCTTGCCTTTTGATGCATGTGCTGGTGCACACGAGCTATGTTGCAAGCCATACCCCTGCACTCCAGAAAACTCTTCTGGTCATGCATCGGGAGTCGCATTCGATGCTCAATCCCCAGCTGCAACGTGTCCGGCATTGCAAAGAGTGGGAGAGCCAAGATAACAAAGGCTCGGGAACCAGGTCTCCGGCGGCTATCATAACCCTATCTGGTTAATCTTCCCTATGCTGGTGAGTGACTCAATGATGAAGTTGATAGCTCATCCATGCCCCTCTTTGTGCTGCTTCGGCATTTTCCGCACTCAGCCTAAACCCGGATGCAATCCTGTCCTGACACCAAATGGACCAGCAATTAATAATGCGGATGGACTTATTTTAACCTCATCCTCCAGGCTGGTAACACCCACCAAATCGGTCTCACTGACAATTGTTCTACCATCATCATGTCTCTAGTGCAGGCCCTTCACTACGAGATTACAACTCCTGCGCCGTCGTTGTCGCATCCAGCAGTCCCGTCACCTCTTCATTCTATTCCCCAAACTCCTGCAGACGACACTCAAGACCCGCTCAATGGCCCTCTCCAGCAGAGCGTGGCGCCCACGGCGGGCCAAGCAGTTTTTGAGCGGGCGCCTTCAGTTCAGATCACCCAATCCCGTCGGTTGGCCATCACCGTGTTGTTGCTCCTGGCCAACCTTGTACAGGTATCGTAGTCATCCATTCATGTATCTTCCAATGCTAAGGGTCTGCCAGATGACTGTGAGTTTTGCTGGAATCGCGGGTGGAACTCTGCTAGGGGAATCCTTGGGTGGTCAGGAAAGCTCTGCCACATGGGTTGGCGCAAGTTATGCGTTAGTAGCAGCTGGGGCAACAAGATACCATCTTGATTATACTAACTCTGTAAAGAATGACACAAGGGACCTTCGTTCTGATGAGCGGGCGATTGGGAGACGTCTACGGCCATCGAGAGCTTTTGCTTGCGGGCGGAGCATGGCTTAGTCTTTGCACATTGATCAGCGCTTTCTGCAATAACTTCTATGCATTCGTTGCCATGCGGGCGCTCGCAGGTCTAGGTGGTGCCTTCATCATGCCTAATGCAGTAGCTATGATTGCAAGCACCAATCCTCCGGGACGCATGCGCAATCTTAGTTTGGGCTTCTTTGCGGCATCGGCACCAACCGGGGGCTATTTCGGGGCGTTGTTCCTGGGCGCATTTATAGAGGGTACAGAATGGAAATGGTTCTTTGTCTTCATGTAGGTGGTAGCACCCTGTTACGTGGGATATAACTAACGAGGCCGGATCATAGAGCTGGCATTGGCATTGCCACATTGATCCCCTTGTGGGCATTGAGTTCACGAGAGGCTCTCCTCGACAGACACGGAAAGATCGATTGGATAGGATCCGCACTGGGAACAAGTTCCCTGATCTTGTTCAACTTTGTCTGGAAGTAAGCCGATATCCGCTCGAGGGGAGGAGCATACATACTAACACTCTACCAGTCAAGCACCCAGCGTAGGATGGTCCACGCCCTACGAAATCGCCCTCCTAACCACCTCCGTCATCCTCTTCGGGGCCTTCCTCATCTGGGAGAAAAGCGGCACAGAATACCCCATCATGCCTCTTGAGATCTTCAAAGCCCCGTCAATCCTCACACTGCTCCTCGTCGTCCTCCTCAACTACATGGCCGTCGGCACCTTAATCTGGTACCAAGTCCTCTGGCTCCAAGACGTCTGGCACTGGTCCCCCCTGCACTTCGCCGTCGGCTGGACCCCCTTCGTAATCTGTGCCACGGGCGCAGCCTCCCTTGCGGCATGGCTCGTCCCTCGATTCGCAGCGCAATGGATCCTCGCCATCGGCACCATAACCATCCTGATCTCCAACGTATTAATGGCCACCGTCCCAGTCCACCAAACCTACTGGGCGCAGGTCTTCCCCTCCATCGTACTCTTCTCCTTCTGTCCGGACTTCGTCTACACCGCCGCGCAAATCATCGCCAGCAACTCCGTCCGTCGGCACCAGCAAGGCATTGCAGGCTCGCTGATCGGCGCATTGAACCTCTACGGCGTGAGTCTCGGCCTCGGCTTTGCGGCTACCATCGAGGACCAGATCGCGAAACACTCCGGTCGGCTAATGGGATACCGGGCTGCTTTGTTTTTTGGGGTAGGGATTAGCGCGGTGGCTTTACTGCTGGATGTCTGCTTTGTGCGGATGGTGAAGGACGATCGCGAGGGTTGGAACGAGGAAGATCGCGCTGCGGATGGAACTGATGCCGATGCGCTGGAATTGACGGGACAGGCGGCAGCTACTGGTGCGCAGTGGCCTGCTGCCGTAGAGCGGGCGTAAGCGTCGAGTAATGGCACCACCATCTGTTGTAGACCGGGTGAATTTTAGAGTTTGCCCTCGCGTTTGATAAGGCGTGCTGGTAGACATGACGTAGATAGAACAGACCATTCAAACTGCTGGAGATCGCTCACTGGATCGTTGCTTTATCTGTTCACGGGCGCGACAACCAGCCAGCCAGCAACAACAACATATCACAGTGATTGAGTCATAAAAAGAACAAGCAAAGAATTTCTTAAACTATCAATGATACATGCAGGTGGGAAAGGGAAGTAAGTAAGTAAAGATAAAATGAAAGGAAAAAAAATCAAAAAGATTCAAGGCCCGAGCCGCGGATCGAACGCGGGACCTCTCGCAGATATGCTTGGGTTTGTATCCCTAAGCGAGAATCATACCACTAGACCACCCGGGCTTGATATATTAAGTGCGATAAACTTATGCTATATGTTCTAGCAGTAAGTTGAAGGGTGTGGTTGAGCGGGAGTTTTTCTGAAGCTGGCTGGGGTTATGGGTGATGTTTAATGGCAATGTGCATGCATTATTAGTATAAGGAACAATGTGATGGAATTGCATCTGAGAAAAAACTAATTGTTTTAATGGAGGATGATGGTACTACTGTTTGAATATGCTTTCCTTTTTTTTTTCTTTTCATCTTTATCTTTCTGTTCAGATTGAAACGGACATTAGCCGGTCTATATTTACTTACGGCAGTCGGTATCCGCCACACATGCTCAATGAACTACTACCACTACTTTTTACTTCAGCTCTTGCTGGGATGGTAATAATTATTTTAGTACAATAGATTCAGTGGAAGTACTGTTATAGAGTTATTGAAGCAATATGTTTATTTTTTAACGAGTTCTTTCTCATAACTTCAGGTTTCACTTGTTTTGTAAAACGTCGTTGGTTTTCCCAGCCTGCTCTGATTAGCTAGCAATAGATCAAAGGATACACGTTCAACACATAAAGCCTAGTATTTGAATCTCGACTTTCTAGCGGCTGCAACGCACTACATGGATAGTATATTCATTCCGCGCCTTTCTCATTTTATATACATTATATGACTCCGCGACATTTACTCCGGTTAGACATCACTATCGAATATATCCATTCGTGAAAAGTTCCCCATCGTCTAGATGCAGTTAAATTGACCCAAAGTAACAGAAGAGCAGCTCACCGTGTGGACGCCAATCAATAGTCCAAGGTTCTAGTGCCAATAAATATAAGCAACGGGTTGACCGTAAAATCTCCGGACATGAGTTTCCCGTCCCGCACGCTTACGGGGTCTCGCCGTACCAGACAACAAGAACAGCCCAGCGGAGGACACGTATCTCAGCTCAACACAGCAACGCTACAAGGGATTCAGCTGACTTGGGATAAGCTTCCGATGTAGTTCATCCACTCGGTAGAGAAGGATGACGTTGCTGGGCCGGAAAGAGTAAAATGAGGGATGATAGATGGGTTTGATAACATGGCCCTGAAGAGGTGTTGAGATCGTCAGCTGTGTGTGGTGATGAAGTCATGTATATTTCGAATCATGTTAGATGTAACATCCGGGAGAGCGAGGAACCCTTGAGAGGAACCCCTGCGTGGGAAGGGGCTGATGGGAGTAAATGAACCGGCAGGCTGCAGGCATCGCAGGGATACACACCTTGCATAACACCTGATAAGAAACGAGGTGGGAGATTCAGCGGCCGAAAGCATAGCTGCAAAGCCGAGATCTCTTGATATGATACTTACATTGACGAAAAGATTGAGTAGCTCTTATGGGACATTCTGTCATCTCTCCGCTGGACTGATGCTTTTTACGTTCGAGGACGAGCAGCATGAATTATGCACGCTTTCCCTTGGTAGCCTGGGAACAGGCGTGCACTATTGGACCAGACAAGGTCCGAGACCTGATGATGTGATCGACCATGCAGTTACTGATCAGCCTTGTCCTTGAATGATTAGCTGCAGGCGTAAGTCAGAACCCTCCAACACGTATGCTCATTCATAAGGGTGCATCGCGCTGCTGGTTTGTCTGTTTCACCTGATCTCGCGGTGGCTCTGCTCTAGCCTGGTGGGATTTGTCGGCGCAAAATAGAGCACACATATGATGGCCACCATGAAGCCGAAAGAGGAATACTGTGATGGCCCGGATACCAAAGCAGAAAGGACGCCGTCGGATACAGAGTCACCAGTAGAAGATCCGGATCCAGCTCCCGGTGAAACCGAGGTTTACTCGACCTTCTCTCGTCGAACAAGAGCATTGATTGTCCTGATAGCTTCGGTGGCCAGTGTTTTCTCCTCCTTGTCGGCAAACATCTACTTGCCCGCAACTGACACTATTGCCGACCAGTTCCACGTGAGCGACACCTTGATAAACCTTACGTTGTCAACATATATGGTAGGTGAATATGTAAAGCAGTTAAAAGATGAGCGGATGTGCTTACCACCATAGCATAGATCTTCCAAGGTCTCGCGCCCACTTTTTTTGGCGGGCTTGCCGACAATGCAGGGCGGCGGCCAGCGTATATCCTTTGCTTCATCGCGTATATCGCCGCCAACATCGGGCTCGCCCTGCAGCGCAACTACGCCGCGCTGCTCGTTCTGAGATGTCTCCAGAGTGCTGGCGGTAGCAGCACTATTGCGCTCGCTAATGCTATTGTTGCTGACGTCGTCACTACCGCCGAGCGCGGCAAGTACATTGGATATGTGTCGGCCGGCTTCATCATTGGCCCGTCGGTAGGGCCTATAATCGGGGGCCTTTTGACGCAGTTCCTAGGCTGGCCCTTCATATTCTGGTTGCTGGCAATCCTTGCAAGTGCTTTCTTCATCGTGCTAGTGCTTTTTCTTCCCGAAACTGCCCGTAAGGTTGTCGGCAATGGCTCACGATCTCCCCCAATATGGAACCTGTCGGGGCTACAGCTCTGTTCTCGACGTCAACGGGCCGAGGCTCATTCCTCGGCGGGCATTCATCTTCGTTTCCCCAACCCGCTCAAGGCTCTCACCATTATTTTCCACAAAGATGTTTTTCTGATCCTTTTGGGAAATGGTGTGGCTATCGCAGGCTATTTTGCTGTCACAGGTACCATCACCTCGCAGTTCAGCCGCATATACGGCTTCAACGAGGTGCAGATCGGTCTGTGCTATCTTCCCCTTGGCGTGGGCAATCTGATCGCTGCATATACACAAGGTAAAATAACAGACTGGAACTATCGACGGCACGCAAGCAGCCAAGGCATTGATATTTCCAGCAATCGCCGACCTGACTTGGACAAATTTGCCATCGAACGCCCCCGTGCTGAAGTCGTCTTGCCGCAGGCAATCGGGGAAGCATTGAGCATGATTGCGTATGGCTGGGTTTTGCACTACGAGACCAATCTTGCAGGCCCACTCGTTCTCCTTCTTCTCATTGGGTATACTTCTGCAGCAGTAATGAATACCTTGAGTGCGTTGATGGTTGATATCTACCCCGAGAGTCCGGCGATGGCAACAGCTGCCATGAATCTCACACGATGCTGGCTCGGAGCTGGCGCAGCTGCTGCAATTCTTCCTATGATTGACGCCATCGGTAACGGATGGGCTTTTACTGTAATTGGGTTCATGTGTTTTGTGTGCGTGCCAGCGATGGTAGTGGTCTGGCTTTGGGGTTATGACTGGCGCAGACAGCGACATTGACGGAAAGTCGTCTCTAGGAGGATTATCTTAGCCATTGAGTTATATCATCTAATCTAACACAAGGGCGCTTCTTTGATTGGCTAGTACGATGTAGCATGTAGCATGTTGCATGAGCGTCGGGGGCTGACACAAGCATACTACTTCTGTCATTGATTCAGATGGAAGGGCAGGTCTGGAACTCGAAAGCCAACACCGGCTAAACCGGCTCTGTGTATCACAAGTAGTTGTACTGTCAAGCTGAGCACGTCGGGTAATCATTTCTTCGAGAGTTTTAGGCTCTTCGCTTGTTGAGCTCAGGAGAGAGGGCCACCTTAGTGAAGGCCACTAACGCCGGAGTCTCAGGTATCCACTTGATATCCCCGTTGTTCAAAGCATCTATCGGTAGATAGAAGCTAGATGAAAAAGATGGAAGAAGAGGAGAGAAGGGGAAAGAGGATGTTTGGTTGATGTTAGTGTGGCGGTGTTTTTCGCTGACGTGGGGGCGATTTTAAGGCTGGTTGGAAATGTTGTCCCCAGGCAAACAGTAAGCAAACAGGAAAGCAAACACCTGATCTTTTTAGGACAATTTGGGGCCATGGGGCCAAATTCTCTTAGCTCAATAATGATCGCCAGGGGCAATGAACACTCTGAGTTAGCTGGAGGTGTCCCATGAGTCTTGTTAGTCTCTGGATGAAATGACCCATACTACAGCCGCATTCGCTACACAATCAGTTCGTTAGTTCAAGTCCCATTCTGCCTTGGTTGCTTTGTGACTTACAATAGCTGTTTCCACGCGTTTCCCAACATTGAAGATACACTGATCCACGTCTGTACCGCTCTGCAAGACAGGATACCTGTAGAAATAGAGCACCGGGCAACGCAGCATGGCAAGCCCATAAAATCTAGCCAGTTTGAATGAGAGATGTCAATTGCAGCCAGTTCATCCGACCCAACACTACCAAGACCAAATGAGCAACAGTTTTCGCCCCATATGAAGGACCGTTGACCCACTGTTGGCCATAACTCATTGGGTTCGATAGTCTCTCCGAATCAGTCCCTAGATCTATCGGTCACTAATGAGCTAGAATTTCAACGCATGGGGCCGAAGGCCCTAGAAAAAGTTGTTTCAACATGCTTCGGCTGAATCCTATGCGGCTATGTTATCAGGGCGATCATATAAGATTGCCTTCACCCGCCAATTCCACTTCCGTCTCCCAAGCATCGTGAACACAGAAAATGCCTGCGACACTTAGGCAGACGCTGTTGCTGGCCCTGTGGGCCGGCAGCCTGGTTTCTAGCTCCTGGGGAGCTGACCTACCTACTACCGATGTAGTAGCCTCTCACGCTAGTATCACTCCTGCTCCGGTAGCAGGAGCTTGGCTGGCTGAGTCGGATCCTGCCGGCATTGAGCATGAGGTGGATGAAGACGAGCACCCTCGGCTGGTGGCTAGAAAGAAGAAAAAGAAGACAAGCAAGAAGTCCAGCAAGACAAGCAAGAAGTCGAGTAAGACGAGCACGAAGTCCAAGACGAAGACTTCCACCTCGACCAAGGACACAGCTACTCGCACGACGAGCACAAAATCCAAGACTTCTACTTCGACCTCGACCAAGGATACGTCTACTCACACAACAAGCACCAAGACTCCCGAGTCGCACAGTACCTCAACCTCAACCAAGGATACTTCTACTTCCACGAGTACCAAGACACCAGAGGTACATAGCACCTCGACTTCGACAAAGGCTACACCTACTCATACGACCAGCACCAAGACACCTGAGGATCAAGGTACCTCGACTTCGACGAAGGCCACTCCTACGCATACGACCAGCACTAAGACACCCGAGAGCCACAGTACCTCAACGTCGACTAAGGCCACACCTACTCACACTACGAGCACCAAGACACCCGAGGGCCACAGCACCTCGAGTAGTGCGGCTCATGAGACCTCTGCATCGGGAGGCCAGTTTGTGCAAACCCCAACCCCAGGGACATCAACATGGACAGTCTCGGAGGGGTCTGCTGCAGGCACGTCTACTCACAGTCATACCACGAGCCCAGGGTCGTCTGCTAGCGGCAGCCACACGCATACGACGAGCACTGAATCTCATCAATTGTCCTCCAGCGCTGCACACCACCATACAAGCACAGGGTCTGAGCACCCGACCTCCACTCCTGAATCTCACTCTACATCGCACTCTGCGTCGCACTCTGCGTCACACTCTGCGTCCCACACTGCATCCCACACCATAACCTCGGGATCTGCGCACATAACCAGTAGCAGTGCCGTTGAGACTTCATCTCATACTGTGTCATCATCTAAGCCAATCATTTCTTCGGGCGTTGCAACTTCCACAAGTGCTACCCCGGTTAGCTCTGAAGCTGCCCAGCCGACTGATGATGGCTCGGGTGATGATGGGGATGATGGAGAGGAAACTGGCGATGACTCTGGGGAAGATACCGGCGACGATTCTGGTGATGACACTGGCGATGACGGAGAGGATACTGGTGATGATACTGGTGACGAGTCGGGCGATGACTCTGGGGATGATACCGGTGATGACACCGGCGACGACACCGGCGACGATACTGGCGATGACACTGGAGATGATACTGGAGATGACACTGGTGATGAGTCTGGCGATGACTCTGGGGATGATACCGGTGATGACACCGGCGACGATTCTGGCGAAGACACTGGAGACGAGTCGGGCGATGACTCTGGGGATGATACTGGCGATGATACTGGTGATGATACTGGTGATGACACCGGCGATGACACCGGAGATGATACTGGCGATGACACTGGCGATGACACTGGCGATGACACTGGCGATGACACTGGCGATGACACTGGAGATGACACTGGTGATGACTCTGGAGATGACACTGGAGATGACACTGGTGATGACTCTGGAGATGACACTGGTGATGACTCTGGAGATGACACTGGCGACGATTCTGGTGACAATTCCGGTGAAGATTCCGGCGAAGATACCGGAGATGATTCTGGTGACTCTGATGATGGCTCAGCTACCACTACCTCGCCTGCCACTTCATCCTCCGCGTCTCCAGCTGCCAGCTCAAGCGCAGCTGTCTCGGAACTGTGCAGCCCCCAATGCACTGAATGCCTGTCAACTGACACAACCGATACCTCAGGCACGTCATTCAGACGGTCCGGTCTATTCAGCAGAGGGCTCGCTCAAAGGGCCTCCAGCTTTCTCGCCTGGATGTCCACCCAGATGCAGACCGCACAGCCCCTTGTCAAGAGCACTAGCGGCGTAACTACATCTACATCCGTCGTTTTTGGCAGCGGTACAAGCAGCCTTTCCCAGGCTAATGTTCGCGGATGCACTGTTCTCTACGTTGTCTCCAAGTACGCTGTGTATGAGGCGCACCTGTGGGAATCCCCGGGATTTGTGTCGAGCCAGAACGGCACTGTCGCCTTCAACGAGCAATCATTCCAGACCAACATTATCAGCTACCTGACGAACGACGTGAACCTCAAGCTGCCACAGCTCACTGGCTCCGCTGCGTACCCCGACCCTGGCACTCAGATCTACATTGGCACGCCTGTAGCCGCTACTGGACAAGGCGCAAAGTACGTGTCTCAAATCTCGCGCATCGCAACAACAGTCAACCAAATTCTTGGGCTGTCTTCTGAGCCGGCTGAGTACTACTACACGCCCACCAGCATGGATGGTGAAAACAACTGGCTATTCCAGTACAATGAGAACGCCTGCAACAAGCCTGTGTGGCAAATTTGGTATGGCGGTATGGCAGATAATGCCCTGTGGTCATCCAGCCAGACGTCTAGCTCCTGCGCCTCTAGTGCGGCGACGCCTTCTCGCACACCAGGAGTTCCTGCCTATACCCCGTCCACCATGATGGTCATGCCCAAAGCGACTCCTGCTTATTAGCGGGGCTGCTACTAATTCATTGAACTCGAGCATGAGCTGAGCCTTGCTGCCAATCTTTGACACACCCTCCCTTTTCTGTACGATGCTTCCACACACTCTCTTGTTTCTGTACGATGCTTCACACACTCTCTTGCTATGTTACCTTCTTACATTCATTCACAAACCTTGCTTATGCTTTCTTACCCTCACTTGCTTATCTTATTGTCCACCTGTGACCTATACTTTGAAAACTTTCTTTATGTGCATTAACTGCAGTACCTTGAGACAGGAATTTCATACTTGTATATATATTATTATCCTGCTATATAGCCAGCGTAAAATGTAACAAACCCGCCAAGCAACAGACTACGTATTGTCCATGCCCCTTACATGGAGAAGGGGAAATCCCCACCCACCGACCCATCAACCCATCAATCCCCCCGTCACCAACCCAGTTCCACACCCCAAACCAAGAATCCGAACCAGTTCAAACAATAAAGCCAAGAAACACGGCAAGAAAATCAAAATGCCATTCAAGATCCTCCTCAAGGCAACTCGCCTTCCAGAAACCTCCCCCTCCACATTCAAATCCCGTCTAGAAGCGCACATCGAACTAGTCAAGTGTCTTACGGGTCCTGATTTTCCCCTCTCCCATCGACGAATCTATATTGATCGTCCTACTGCTCCGTCTTCAGAGGGAACATATCCTACCACCGTACTACTCGGACAACAGAGTGATTTCTCATTCGACGTGATAGCGGAATTGACATTCGAGGACAAGGCTGCATTCGAGCGGTTTCAGGCGAAAGTGGGAGAGCCGGAGATTGCGAGAGCAATTCAGGAGGATGAGCATGGATGGTCGGATCGGGGGAAGTTGGGGATTGTGGTGTTGGGGGAGGTGAGGGAGACGAAGAGGTGATTTCAATGTTGATTTTTTTGGTTGATGTTCATGATGATCAACTCTTACAGAGATGGGGATGATGTGGGGTTGGTTTTGCACGTTTGAGAATCGAGGCAGATCAATTGGACGTTATTGAGTATGTGTGAGACTTTGCATATTGTAGTAGAAGTTTTATTGCCTATCACATCTACTATTACCTACTAAATGACCATTCTATGTCCACGGAGTGACAGGTGACACAGGGATCGACGACCCCTTGTAGATCTGCCGCATCACGGCTCCATACATAACAACAACCGACAACCACTTCAACACCACCCCTCACCATCCATCATGACGCGTTATTCAATGCTACGCATCTCTCGAGTAATACCAAATCCCCCAAAATGGCCTCTACTACGTCACCAACTCCCCATCCATCGCGTCAAACGCCCTACACCCATTCACTTCACGCGTCACACCGCATCCTACGCAACAAACCCCAAACCCCAATACCAGCTCTCTCAATATAACTTGAACCAGTCAGAACCAGACAAAGATCTCTCCACAGTGACTAGCTCAAACTCCCGGCGGATTAAGTCGGTCTGTCACGCCTTTCTCTCACCATATAGAGCGCTTCAGCCCCTAAGCTCACGGTGTCACCCACTTCTCATGCTTTATCAACGGCTTCAATATAACTCGAAATTCCACTCCCACTATTCAAGTATGACAACATCAAGCAGTGACAACTCATCAAGCGAGCCATATCCCAAGTACAATTGGATTGACGGGCCCGAGTCTCTCGAGAAATATAGATCCGGAGGCTACCATCCCGTCATGATAGGGGATCTACTACATGACCGATATCGCATCGTCGACAAGCTCGGGTACGGGGGATACTCGACCGTTTGGCTCGCGCGCGACACCCACTTGGAGCGCTACGTCGCCGTAAAAGTAGGCATAGCAAATTCCCTTCCGCATGAAACTAAGATTTTGCGGGCTCTTTCGGCGCCCGCTTCAGTGCCATCGTCTGTTCGCGCAGGCCTCGACTCCATCCCAGTACCATTAGATGAATTCGAGGTGACTGGTCCCAACGGGACGCATCCATGCTATACAATGACACCCGCACGATGCAACCTCAGAGACGTCTCTTTCAGCCGTCTGTTCCCCCTTGACGTTGCGCGTGCGGTATCAGGGGGCCTTATACTAGCTGTCGCTTATATGCACTCGCAAGGCTATGTTCACGGAGGTAAGCTCAGAGTTTATCGCTTTGATCCAGTTCTTCAAGTCGATGCTGATAAAAACAAGATATCCATCTTCGCAACATCTTAGTAAAGCTACCAGCAAGCTTCGACAGTCTCTCTACTGAGGAATTCTACGAGCAATATGGGAACCCTGAGACGGTGCCAATCACACAGCGTGACGGAGGCTCACTTCCACCCCATGTTCCACCGAAGGCAGTGCTACCTCTTTACCTCGGAAAAAAAGCCGAGGAATTCACATTGCAAGACGCCCAGGTTCTTTTGAGCGATTTCGGAGAGGCGTTTTCCCCAGTCTCATCCCCTCGCTCTGGGGAGTATTGCCACACCCCTGTGCCTTACTGCCCACCCGAGGCTCTGTTTGAGCCCCAGGCGCCTCTTTCGTACCCTGCGGACGTTTGGAGCTTAGCTACTGCTGTGTGGGAGATTCTGGGCATGAAGGCTATTTTCAGCACCGAGGCGCCAGAGGATGAAGTGACGTGTCAGCAGATTGATGTACTTGGGCCTATGCCGCAGGCGTGGTATAGTGCATGGCAGGAACGGAGCTATTTCTTTGAAGAAGATGGGCGTCCAGTGGAAGGCCGCGAGGTATGGCCTACTTTGGACCTCGCATTTGAGCAGGGAGTGAGGGAGTATCGACGGCAGGGTGGAGTAGGGGATTTTGGTGATGATGAGACGGCTGCTATTTTGGAGCTGATGCGGGGGATGTTGAGATTTAAACCGGAAGAGAGACTGACCATTGAGGAGGTGCTGCAGTCGGAATGGGTATCTAAGTGGGTGATGCCTGATTATGAACGTGGTTTGCAAGCATTTACATAATTTATCCATAGATAGATACATACACCAAGACTCCTCCCCTCCGAATAGAAGTAAAAATTACTTCGTAACCTCCTCCGCAAACCCAACCAACAACTCATTCACAACATCCGGCTTCTCCAACTGCACCCAATGCCCCGCATCCACCACCTCGATCCTCGAATCCACCACATTCGTAGTCGTCATATGCGACCCCACCTCCATCCGACAAACATAGTCCTGCTTCGCAGCAATATACAGATTCTTCACAGTGCATTTCCCCACTCCACCCTCAATGTCCGCTTCATCTTCGGTATTGATGCCGCGAATCGCAGCCTTATACCACGACAGCGGACCGGCGTATCCTCCCTCCGAGAAGACACGATGATGGATATCGTAGTCTTCCTGAGTGAGCCAGGACGGGAGAGGGGTGGTTTTGCCCGAGCGGACCCATTCGGCTGCTTTGCCGATGGGAGCGAGATCGGTTTTCCACATCGCAGGGTCTTGCGGGTAGATGAGGTTGAAAGCGGATTGGGGCTGCAGATTTATCAGTATACGTTCAAACTTCAGAAGGAGGATATAGGGGCGGACGTACATGAGCTGCCATCTCATCAGCTGCTTCATCGGTGTTATGCCACAGCCAGTACCCGAAGACGGGGTATCCGAAGAGGGATTCGGTGTGTTTGAGGAGACCGTCTATCGCTATCAGAATTCTATCCTCGATAGTCATATGGGTAATAGATAGGATTCATACCAAGGTCGAACTTCGGTCCAGGGGCATTATACGCCACGGCAATGCTGACGAACCCGTAGAACCGCTGGGGATAGTAATATGCCACGCGGGAGGCGAGACCGACGCCCCTTAAGCCCTGTTAGTGTTCATTCATGCAATTGACATGTATATTAAAGGACGGGCATCATACCAATCATGCGCGACCAACACCGCCCGAGAGACATCCTCGCGATCCAGAATCTCAATCACATGCTGGCTCATGACCTTCAAACGATACGCCTTGAGGTCCGTCGGCTTGTCGGTATCGCCATAGCCCAACAAATCAGGCGCAATTACACCGTATCCGCCCTTCTGCAGGAATGCGATCTGATGACGCCAGTCGTAGCTGGTAGAGGGGTAGCCGTGGAGGAAGAGGAAGGTGGGTTTTCCATCCGTGGCGGGGACGTGGACGTAGCCGTAGGTGGTGCCGTCGGAGAGTGTGGCCTTTTTGGCTAGGTTGGGGTAGACGGTGGATGCCATTTTTGTTTTGAGGAAGAAGGTGTTTGACGGTTGCACTTCAAAGGGGAAGTAGGGTGAGACTGGGGGAGATATATGATGGGTTTGGAGGGGTAGCTTTCAGCCTTGTTGGATGCTTGCGAGAGTCAGCGTAAGCAGTGGGATTGACGAACTACCCTATCACAGTGGACCTTGGCTTTGTTAGTGGTTAGTGAGATGGGGATAGTTGGGGACACCTTATGATCAAAGAAGTAGAGTTTAAACTAAATGATTATGGGTTGGTGGTTCATGGAGGGGCATTTATTTAACTGCCAAGGCTAGTTAATTAGTGGCCTCCACTCTGCCGAGGCACATAATTGAGGGTCTGTATTTCCGATTAGTGAACTTGACATATCATTACATTTTTGGTGATTTATTTACCTCTTAAATATGAAATATTCATGGTCCTCTCCAGTAGAGAATATAATAGCTTTGGTTTTTCAATTCAAGTATAGCTCCATGTCTGAGCTAGTCGTTCAACCCTGTGTTGACGTCTGTCGGAACCCGCTTTTTAGTGCACTTTCGGCGTAAATTTGCCAGTAGTGCATTGGAGCTAACCGCTCGACCATATGATTGAAGACAAGAGATCTGAGTCTTGGAGCCAAGATTGCGCATCAATCTTAAGCTTTGATAGATCCACTACATAGGTAATGTTGGACGCAATTCTCACGTCGCCGTTGATCCATTTTCAAGCGTGTCGCAAGTACATGAAAATTCCCTATATATTGATCGAGATGATTCAAGCTCATCTCAACTCATTAATCAACAATACAAGGCCTCCTCTATGCTTAGCTGGTCAGATAATGGTTACTTTGCACCTATCTTAGTGTCTTTTGGCTGTTACTGAGCTTTATACATTTCTGCATAGTAAAGATTCAATCACGAGTATGGTACACTAGTACACAAAGAGCTGACCGAGAAGCATAGATATGACCAGTCCAGGCTGTGTGACAGTCTAGATCTCATCACTCAAAAAATAATTCGCCGCAACCGGCCCCCCAACCGCCTTCAAGATCGGCTCCAGAGTGAAGTTGAACCGCGCAAAAGCAGTCTGCGAGTAATAAGTCCCGTTCGCTGCCTCCTCGAAAGGCACATATCCCTCGGGCTGATCAAACAGATACAGCGTGTAGGTGTGGTTTGTGCTGTCTCGGGGACGAGGAGCCGTATATTCGGAGATAGCATCGCTGGAGTTAACGAAGCGTCCGTTCTGGATAGTGTAGTTGCCACCCCACCAGTGCAGGCGGGTGGTGGTGTTGACAGCCAGACCGGGGATGAGAGTGTCGTAGTAGGCGGCGGTGGTGACATCCGAATCAGGGATGTTGAGGTCGAGCATCACAACCATGTAGGTGGCATCCTTGTTCAGGTTCTCGGTGACATAGATGGCCGGCTGGCTGGTGATGTCTTTTGTTTGGAGTTAGTTTTGAGTTTACACCGTATACGGGGCGGAGTATGTACCATCCGGGCTCATCCAGGTACCAGGGGTCACGGTGGCATTGGGAAAGGCGACACCAAAGTTCTTGTTGGTGGATGGGGAGCTGCCCGGGGGCGTCTGGGCCAGCGCGGTGGCGGCGAGGGCGGATAGAAGGGAGAGATAACGCATGCTGGATGGTTAAAGCGTAAGAGGTCTGGCCAGGAATACAGTTCCAATGGATCGTCCCATGTCTATATAACGTTCAGGAACGGAGGTTAAAATCAGCTCCGTCCGCCGAAGGCTTCGTCATACATCGGCGGATGATGCTGGATCGGGTTGGCGAGTGGATCGGCAGCGGGCCCGGCTTGTGCAGAATTCCCGTCGTTCCGCTTCCATTTTAGGGTTAAATCCGTGAAACGTCGGATATCATGTGGCCGTTACGGAAACCATCTCCTTTGAGTGCTTCACGTGAAACTGTTGCTGAACATCTGGTTCTGGAAAAAAGGGAATAATGTTCAACAGTCAGTATGCACCTAGGCACAAACATTTGAGTGCATCTGACGGAATCAACCACCGAATCGCTCGGTTCATCGTATATATTAGATACTGGATATCCATTATACTCTCATAATAGAAGCGGATCATCCTCAAAGAGCTTGTTTGGCTCGAGCAGTGGCAACATGTCCCACTGCCGCTATGTGCAGGGGACTGCCGGTTTGTGCCGCTCCTGAACCAATGAGTAGCTGTGGAGCTCTCGATCCGTATCTTATCAATCGAAAATAGTGTCAACTTGTAGTTCTCTCTACTTACATAGTTACATCAATTCTGAACCGGCCACCATGTTGTCATTTACAAACGAAGCCCGAAGGCTCCTCGTGCCAGTCGAATTCATCCAACATGTTCTCCCACAAAGTCGTCTCTCGATCTTTCCTTTCACTTTCACCTCCTGGATACACCGAAGGAGTTTCGTGCGAGGCGGGCGGAGAACGGCATCTACGGATAGCACTCTGGCTACCAGTCACTTCGTATGCGTGTCTCCGCAAAGCATTGGGGCCAAGATGATACAACCTAAGACATTCGTGCTCATATCCTGATCCCTGTGTTGAGAGGTCAATCTGCCCTTGCTGCTGCTCACACGTGGTATTCTCCAGCCAAACCGACATGCTTCTCGACACCTTTTTGCAGTCTATCAAAGGTGTATCTCCCAAACTACCTTCCATTTTCTTCATCAGAGCAAGTCCGAGGGTGTAAATGTCGTGTCTTTTGATCCCAGGGATATCGAAACGCGCATGAAATAACAAGTGGAGCTTTGAGAGAAGCAGGAGGCTGTACCAAAGTATATTGTATGATGAAGCAGGCAGGTGAACGAGCGCTGGTAGTGGTATTGCAAGAAACACGTTGATAGTATTGTATGCTGACGAGGATAATGCTTGAAGCTGCTGTAGACCACAGTAGGGAGTGCAGTGGTGCCGTCCAAGAACTAGTAATGATGTTGCACTAAGCTCTAGGCGCACAGCCCCTGGTAGATGTTAGTGCCTGACACAGCAGTATATTTTAGGGGATGACTCACAGTTGTCCCAGAGATTTTGGTTACGGAGAAGTTTCTCTGTATGCTTTTGTTGCAGTGCGAGGGAGTCAGATAGCTTCTGCCAGGCCATGCTCTCATCTGCTCCCGAGAAATGCTTCCTAACAGGTGACGAATCAGTCCTGAAGCGTGTATACTCCTTTGTATATACTCCGAGCACTACATCGGTAGGGTATTCTGCCTTTAGTGCAAGCATCTCAGCGCACCGTTTGATCCGTTCAGTATACTTCATGGCTAGCTGTCCTCGAAAGAACAGTGACCTGTTATGGATATCATAAATGTAAGTTTCTAATTCCCGAAACAAGGTGGGTCCTATCAACTCACCTCGAACAGAGATAATAACATCCGAGAAGAGCCCGCTGTGCCGCCGAGGTCCAGCAATCGCTATCAATCTCCATCTGGTTAGCAACCTGGCTGTTAAACGGAGTAGCCTGCATCTTTGAGTCTCCTTTGTCCAGACCTAGATCCCCAACAATCATGACCGCCATTTGCAGAAACATGAAACACTGGGAATCATAGATAGGCCAGTGATAATAACTCCAGGCAACGTGGACCAAAAGTCCTAAGAGCAGATCCAAGCTCCTCTCCAAGTTGGCTACCAAGCGAGTGGCGATGGACCTCCTGACTTCTTGTTCCGTCTTTAGTTGTGACAGTGGTTTGTGCTCCAGGCAGGCGGTCACGATGCACAGCAGGAGAAAGGGAAATTGCTGCCGAAGTGTCGGAACACCCAGCTGAGTGGGAATTATGACGAAGGGAAACAGGGGCATTTTATGCAAGCGAAAATTTGCCAAAAGCTCTTCACATTCTAGGAGAGTGAAAAGCCCACGAGAGACAAAATCCATTTCTGCATCCATCCCTGATGGTGAGTTTCCAGCAGGTAACTCATGATGATTGCTATAGCCTGAATCGTCTTCGCTGAGGTGAAATTGATGTTTCGGTGTTCGCAAAGGTAGGTTGTCATGACTACTTCTCTGGTAAGGATGATTCAATAGGTTGGTCCACTACCGAGGATTGGAGCAAGTACCTTCATTAATGCCACCTGACTAAACTGTCTACTTGCTCCTGCAGGGCGTCAATGCGGCTATTCCTACTTTTAAACGAGAAGTCAGCCTTCACAAATAGTGTCCTGAAAATGTGATGAGACTGACCTGCGATTGCCAGTCCCGTGAGTCTGTGGGGCGATACAAGGCTGGGAGAGCCGCATACAACGTTCGCAACTCGATGTACCTAGGACCGAATTTCGGGTCGGAACACATTTAACCTTGAGTTGAATGCACCTGGCGCAGGCATGTCGCCTCCGATGTTGTCGGTGCATCTCACTTCAGCAAAAGACCTTGTAATACCGCGTCAGACCACCATGGAAGGAAATGACAAAAGAATCTGAGATGATTCATCTGTAAAGAAAACAGACAGATTGTAAGATTGTCAGTGCTAGGTCCTTGAAGAGTAGCAGGACAAGGATCCAGAGAAAGTACCAACAACAGATGGCAATAAAGATAGAACTGACCTCGACCGGGCCAATCAGCATTGCTGTCGGAGGGACCGGGTCGGACTCATGGCCGGAAACGGAATCGAAATCGGAGCCGGCATATCAGCCCTGTGCCCTGACAGGGAGGTATGGCCAATAATCATCCGTAAATCTATGTCTGCCTTATTTTTGTTATCTCTAGACTACAAGCGAAGGCATGCAGGCTAATGAGCCAAGAAATGCGTTCTTCCTTCCAGACCTATGGTGTGTGAAGGACGGATGACTAGCCGACAGCTGGAAAACAGATGAAAGCCACGTAGTCTCACAGTGTTCGTGGACATAATTCCGTATCGTCAATTACAGGGTAGCAGGATACTGCATTTCAAGCTTTTATCGCGAGTTCTGGCTTGTCTATTTTATTCCGAGGTAACGCTACCAAGTGCTGCAGGCCATTCCAACGGCACCGCAACATTGAGCCCGCGCTTGATAACAAGCACATTATGCCTCTGTACGACCATAAAGTCGCGGGTGGCGGGTAGGTACTCAATAAGAAAGTTTGCGTTGCTTCCTCTCCACTCTGATAAAAGTAAGAAATGCCGCCATGCGCCCTGCCTGTTGGTATTCCATTGAGCCAGATCAACAGTACAAACCCAGAAGTCGCTATCCACAAACAGAAATAGGCCCCCACAGACGCCGATAATCTGATGTATTCTGCTGGATATATTCTCGAAGTCTGGAAGAGGATATTCATTGGGCCATTTGTTGTCCGGGTGGAGTTCAGTTGCTTTCCAAACTCTCAACTTGGAATGTGGAGCCTTCTTATGTGCATGTTTTTCGCCAATCGTAGCAACGAATTTCCCAGCACTCATTGGTCTTCCAGTTATATTCAAGATGCCAAGCCGTGAAGCTATTTCATCTTTTCTATCATCATTGGGTGGCTTTTCCTTCAGACACTTTTCACCCGTCGTCTCTTCAGGACGGTCCCACATGTACACATAGGCTTGACCGGCACCTATAACCAAGAAAGAGTCTGGACGCTGAGGGTGCTGAAGAATTTCGTGGTCATGGCTAAAGTCATCTAGACAGAGACGTAAGTCAACCTGGTCTCCAGACAACGTCCACACCTTGACCCAGTGTCTTCCCTCAATCAGGACCTTTGTGCCGCTCGTGTTGAACAGCAGATCCAGTACAGGCTCCCCGGATCGTATTTCGTTCACAGTAGTAATCAGCTCATCTCCATCCGCGTTGGGCTCTATTTTGGACACAAGGATGCGACTGGACTCGTCTGCTGTGACAAGGAGCCCGCCTCTTCTGCAGTATCCCACGCAGGTTATCATAGTACCCAGAGCGTGCCGACACACTTCTTTCTGTCGCATGGTTTGTCCGTCGAAGCACATGACGGATCCATCTTCCTTTCCACAGAAGAGGTACCTTCCATCCGGGTGCGGGCAGATTGCTGTTATTGGAACGTCCGCGGCTCGTTCCATATGATTTGAAGTAGTCTCAAGGGTCCTTGCTTGACTGAAGTCGCTTTCACTATCATCTTCGCACTCTCCCCCAATCAAAACTTCCGGTCCCCATACTTGGCACTGAGAACCACGGATATCAGCGAACCGCAGGCTGTCGGCACTGAATGAAACCCCGCGGATACCGTCTTCGGACGAATCGATTCTATGTGTGAGTGCTAGGCTTGTCCCTTGAGCCCCGGTAAACTCAAAGACATTCAAAATGCCACGAGAGCTGGCAGTGAGAAGAATGCGACCATCTGGGGAACAGGCGAGAGTATGAGCATAGACATCCTGCCTGCGGTAGCATAACGCAGCAGAATATAGGTCATAGACAACAAGCTCTCCATCGCCATATGAGACCACCAGGACATTGCGGTTTCGGTTGAATACCATGCCATCAACAGTGTATTCTATGGCCATACTACTGTTTCTGTAACAGGCTTGAACAAGAGACGATGCCGTCATCTCAAACACATATACCGGTCGGCCTTTGTAACTGACTGCAAGATAAGAGCTGTCATTTGCCAAGAGAGCCATTGCTGGGGGTTGAGTTGGTTTGGTCTGTCCTGTCACTTCTTGAAAACGCTGGGTCCATGGAAGAGTGTCTCCCGAGCTTTGTTCGTCTTCAAGATTCCAAGTAGTTGTGTAATTTCCTCGAGTAGCGGCCAGTAAAACACTGCTATTTTCATGAAATGTGACGGTAAGAGGTTGGTGCGGGACATCATAAGTTCGCACTTGTCTTAATGTCTGCAGATCCCAGACTTTGATGTTGCGCCGGCCACTGGAGGCCAAGTACTGGTCATCATCACTAAATTTGAGTATTGCCACTCGCTCTTCGTGGGTGAAAATGGCCTTCTTTTCCAGTGATTCCCAAAGATAAAGAGTGATACTTCCATCGGACAATGAAACAGCAAAGTGGAATTTCCCATGGGCGATTGCAGTCGTCCGTGAGGTACCATAATCAATTCGAGAAATGCATTCACTCCAGCCATCAACTTCAAGGCTTTTGAGTATGATGCCACGAGGACGCAAGGTGTATTGTCTTGATATCATTGACTCCGAGGGGCAGAGTGATGGAATGACTGTATGAATTGCTGAAGGGCAAGTGTCCAAGGCTACCCGGAATCTGGCATTCACTCTTAGCAAGTCGTGTATCCACTTCCGTAGCTGCTTCTTTTTTTCGTTTAGTATAGGCATCTTTTCACTGTTGCATGCCAAATATGAGGCCATGTTCCTTGCGGTGTGCGTGACATACTGTAGTCTCCTTGTCTCAGCGAGATACTGAATCCAGGGTAATGCAGTACACTCCATAAACTTCAGGAGTGAACCCCATATGTTGGGGTCTCCTCTAGCGCAATCATTCAGATGGTCAGAAAAATAAATTGCGGCATAGTCAGCAATGTTGCTCTCTGCAGTGATAGGCAGAGAACGTGCGTCTGATCCTCGTGTGCCGGGCGCATTGTCGATGAAGTTGCTTAATGCCTTTAGGCAGAGCTCTGCGATCCGCAATTGGCTTGTAGGCCTGTGTATGACAAAGGCTGAAATTTCTTCCTGCTCCAACAAGAATGCTCGAGCAGTTTGGTGAACACATTGAACTTCATTTCCTCGGCCAACTTTAATGAGTTGTCCACAATTGGTGTTGATAGCATCTTCCAATCTGTGAACTGTTTCACCGGTGTCGATCTTAATGGCATGCTTCAACTCTTCTACGGAAAGCGGCCTCAATGCCAGCGACGTCCAGGTAAGGATGGACCGAACCAAATCATGGCTCTGGGCCGGTATGTTTTGTAAGATTCGCTTGTAGACATTGTGCATCTCTCTAGGCGTTTCACTGATAACCTTTTCTGCGCTTTCTGCGGAGAATGTGGTCTCGAGCTCCCGAATTACGAGGGATAACCATAAAAAGGATCCATTAGCCATATCCAGGATTTTGGCTTGGAATCTTCCCTGATCGTCATCAGCTGCCATGGGTAGGTGCTGAAACCTCGAATTGACAAATTTCCTCAAATCATCTATCGTATCCTGGGGCTGTAAAGTGTATTCCCCAATGGCGTGATAATGAGATGGATGGCATCGAGACATTTTCAGCCCGTTGCGACTCGTAACAAATATTCGCAACCACGGAGGACATTCTGTAAGTAAAGAAACAAGGAGACAGGATTTTAGACACTCGTCGAGAGCATCAATGACCCAGTAGCATGAAGTAGGCTTCACCTTTTTGAAGATAAACTCTAGGAAGATCTCACGCCACAATGTTCGCTCGTCCAAATTCTCCCACGTCCTAGAATCGGATGAGACCTTGGTAAGTTGTCCAAGTATCTTCTTATCCATTCGACACATTTGAAAGGCAAGTGATAAGAGACATTTGGTGATTGTAGAGTTATCTCGATCGCCATGCTTAAAGAAGAAATAACTGCATGGGAAATTGCTTTGAACACAGTCGTCGATTATAGAGCTCGAAATGACTGATTTCCCAGAGCCAGCATTACCCGTGAGCCAGAAGATGGCCCGATCGGAGTCTCCTAATTTCCACGAAGCATATTGCTTCCTCATTGTCAGCCATTCACAGGTTCCGGTAGTCCGCAGCTCGTCCAGCGCCAAACGGTCATTATTTGGAGCACCACTGATGCCGGTCAGATTGGACAGCTTCTCCAAGGCCGCCTTCGCATTCTCGAAATCTATGATAGTAACGGTAAGGATAACCTCAGCATGTATGACGGCGGAAGCCACTGACCCTGAGAAACAATGGAATCGATGGTAGTGACAAAAGCATTCCGAACTGTCTTATAATTCGGATCTGCAGGACTGTCAAATTTGCACACGCCCCTATGGTCTGCATTCAGAAGTGAGCATCGCTCCTTTGAGTAGCCTAGAGTGGCTGAGGTTTTGTCAACAATAATAGCGCTTGTCAACTTAAAACTGCACGGAAGAGTTTCGTAGAAGGACCATATGTGCAAGTAATCCGCAACATGTCGGAAACTGTCATTTATGGACTGGATTGAGTCGGAATTTCGTTCTAGCTCTAGAACGAACGGCTTGGGCCCAAAGGACACCCTAAGGACATTTGCGAGAGTCGTTGCAAGATCTGAGCCCCGGTGAGGCGTGGCGAGAAAGTATAATGTATGGATTCGCGCTCCAATCTCCTTCAGAGTAGGGTCTTCCCGAGCGAGAATATATGCATGTGGGATGGTGAGCCCAGAAGTGGACGAAACTAGACATGGAATGGTCTACCTTTTTCGCAACCAGCCCGCCCATACTATGTGCAACAAGTACCAATTTTGTCTTCAATTCGTCAGTTGAGAGTAAGTTTAGAGATAGGAACATGACTCACATTGCTTCGACGAATGTCTGGATTGCATTTGATTTCTCCTAACAAGGACAGCGCAAAGTCATGGATGTTCAGAATACTGGCTGTTTTTTCGGCCCAATCAGCTTTATATCCAAAGCTGTATATACGCACTCTGTCAAACTCGGGGTCCTGAGATAACCATTCTTTGGGCCAATAATGGTAGGGGTCTGGTGACTTGGACCATGTTTTTCTAGACCCCCCTCCAAGGCCGTGGATGAAGATAAAATCGACGAGCGGTTCTGAAACGGTACGAAGCAGTTGAAGACCTAGAGGTCCTTTGAAGCCTTCACTCTCAAGTAAGGGCTTGTCATTAAGAGCAGTATGCCTTTGAGCAACATTGGCTCTTCGATCTATACGGAGCCTGCCGAACGACCTCCTGAACCAGCCATAACTCTCTGCCGTAGCGTCATGCCCTCCGGACTATTTAGTTTCAGCGTCTGCTTTCTAGTTTTCCTAGAGTTGCAAGACCAACCTTATCCATTACAAAAGCATGCCAATATCGTCGGAATACTTTCTCGACGTCTAAATCATTTAAACAACAGGGGTACCAGGAGCTGGTAGGTGATGAAAACTCCAACTGTTCCACCACCAGTGCCCCTCACTGGGAGCTGCTCGCTTACGACTCCCTGCATTGGGCTATTTCGAGATTCTGCGCAGCGAATGGATACCCGTGTTGCGCGAGCCAGTCGTAAGTCTCGGTTAGGCGCTGCCCGCCATGCTATTGCACTCATGCAGGCTGAGCGGCTATAGCATGCAGCGCGACACACTGCGCAGTGTATGATTCGTTGATCAACTCTTGGCCAGGCTCAAGTGTTATTGATTTCTGTCAAGCTAGTGTAGTTGCTTTATCTCAACCAAGTAGTAAGGAGGGAGGCCGTGGAGAAGTATTCCGCAGACATATTGAGTACCGTCGACACAATCAGCTGTCATTATGTTGGTCTGCAGATATCCATACTTTTTTCTCCCTGAAGGGGGCGATCCAACGTTATGATATTGCAGTGATATCAGTGTGATTCTTTATTAGGTAATTCTTTGTCACCGCGTTACCTTTATTTAAATCCCAGTCATGGGTGTATTGAAATGAAATCCTTTGGAGACTGTGTAGGGGCTAAGTGGCTCCCCGGTGGGGATTAGCACCATCACACCCCTGCTCGTTGAACACGGCAACCACGGCGGGGTACTTCATCCCTTTGCCTCCAATAGTTATGCCAGCCCCAATCCATTGACATTGCGCGTCGATTGCATCGGCATTATACAGGCTCATTATCAAATTTGTAGCCCCATCATGTCGCAGTCAGATTGTCAACCAATTAATGTGGAGGACGGCATTCCGACGGAAATGGCCATTGACCATGTTGTTTTATCGGGTATGGAGATATTGGCTACGTATCTGCATACTAGGATTGACTAACAAGAAGAAATAACAGAACTTGCATTGTTCCGTGGACCGTTGAAAGTCGTTAGCCTTGGTTCTTCGGCCTGGGCTCAAAGATATCGGATTGATGTCGAGGCCCAGGAACAGGCAGAGAGCTATTTCATGAAGGTAACTCTTCCTACGAGGCTTACACACTTTGGAAAACATCCTGCAACTTATGCTTTACTAAACAGTCTCTTGACAGATATCATTTGGGGATCATGGCAGGGAAGCCCTCAAGGGAGAATTCGAGGCTACTTTGGCAATTCACAGCATCGTCGGAAGCTTCACACCCAAGCCAATCGAATGGGGATCCTTCAAAGCTCTTTCAGGTACACATTATTATCTCTGTCGTTTCTACGACTTTGCGGAACATGCTCCTAAACCAGCAGAGTTTTGCCAGAAGGTCGCCTTTCTCCATTCGAGGAGCAATTCGCCAACCAGCAAATTCGGGTTTCACCTTGTGACATACAACGGCGACCTGCCTCAGGAGAATGGCTACACTGACACGTGGGAGGAATTCTTCACGATCGGATTTAGGCACATGGTAAATATGAACATAGAACGTGGTGGGCCGTGGCCTGAGCTGGAAGACCTAGACACTGCTATGATTGACAAAGTGATCCCCCGCTTGTTAAGGCCAATGGAAACAGGAGGACGGTCCATCAAGCCATCCCTTGTCCATGGAGACCTGTGGTGCGGAAATGTCGCAGTCGATTCAGCCACAGGGCGGCCGCTGATATATGATCCTGCGAGCTTTTATGCGCACAATGAGTGTATGTGCTATTCGTAAGTCTAGCCTTGAGTTTCACTAACGTGTTCCTGCAGACGAACTGGGCAATTGGCGTCCTGAGCGAAATGGATTTGACAGAAGCTTCTTTGATGCCTATCATTCAATTATTCCAAAGACTGCCCCAGCAGAAGACTACGATGACCGGATTGCACTGTATTCAATGTAAGAAACATTCCAGCTCATTTTTATGAAGGAGTTCTTATTCGGAACAGGCGCTTTAATCTACAAGCCGCGGCCCTCTTCCCCGAGGATACTAGCTTTCGAAACTCGTAAGTCGAGTTCAACCTTAACTGGTCCCTAGGTTGCTAATCATTTATCAGGGTAATTGAAGAAATGAGACAAATGGTTGCGAAGTACCCGGGAGGCTACGAGGAGTATGCCAGGATGCTCTGTGACAGCATCTAAGGTATCTTAGGCAAGTTATCATAGTTTGGTTGCGAACATCTGCACCTTCCATCAAGGCATATATATCTTTCTGTCTGCAATAGCTCAGTCTTATCATGACGTTTGTTCTTTATTTCCCTGGACTTCTTGTAAGTATCGGAACAATGCGCGGAACTTTGCTTTTTCATTAGAAGAGATATGCTCGACGCATATATCTACACAGTAGTTATGGCATGCATCTGATTAGTATATACTACAGATAAGAAGACAGGTAAGTCGAAAAGATGATAAGCGCCCACCGAGTGGAGATTAGCAGCACCCCTGTTGGTGGATGGGGTACTTGGGCGGGGTACTTCTTCCATCTCTGGTTTTGTTTCTTTGTCATTCTCCTTCCCTCCCAGCATATCCGAAGATCATGCCACCTGCATCCTTTTTCATCTCTGACATTTGCATTCCCAGCTGTCGGCTTCGGCACCTTCAAGAGTGATGATGGCAACGGAAACGTCAAGGGGGCTGTTCTACAAGCCCTGTGCTTCGGCTACAGACACATAAACACCGCTACTGCTTAAAGGAATGAGATGAGGTCGGTGAAGTCATGAAGTCATTAAGGAGACGGGGATATCTCTAGAAGAGTTATTGTCACCACAAAGCTGTAAGCACCTCCGCTTGTGGCTACAACCGAGAACTGACTCTCTGTTCAGAGCTCAGACATGGCACCGTGTTTCCGACGTCGAGAGCCCTCGACCTCAGCTTAGAGAGGCTGAAATTGGACTATGGTTTGTCTTCGCAGCAGCTGCACAGTACATCAGGGCATGTGGCTGATTTCTTGATGGATAGTCGATTCTTACCTGATGCATTATACGCCAGAGGTCGCTTCCACACGATAACCACTGACCGATTTCTAGTTCCCCATGCATACAGTTCTTGACTGGATACAACATAATCCGTCATCCTCCTGGAAAGGTAGATACCCTTTAATCACCCCCTTATCCTACTACTGTGCACTAATGTTCTCTCATGATAGCCCATCATTGACTATGAAATGTCGAGAGACTATCCATCGACCTGGACAGCCATGGAGATACTGGTCGATAAGGGGAAAGCAAGAATAATTGGTAGGCCTGCACCTCCTGACATGGCATGCAGACACTCATGTTAATTAGGGGTCTCCAACATCAATATCCTAAAGCTGAAGAGACTTGTCGAATCATCTAGAATTCCTCCTGCAGTCAACCAGATCGAACTTCACCCGTACGTACTCGAGCTGTCCTACTGTGTGCTTTTAGTTTGACTTAAGGCCCGCTAGGTATTTACCCCAAGTTGAGCTTGTGGACTTCTGCAAAACTAAAGGCATTCACGTAGTGGCTCACCAGCCACTCGGCGGCAAGCCAGTAGCCGCAGTCAATCCGAACGCAGACCGACCAGGTCCGTTGAGCGATCCAGAAGTAGGTCCCCCGAACTGCCTGTGACAATGACGGAGACTAATGGCTACAAGGTAGCCGACATAGCGGAAAAGCAAAACCGTTCGCCAGCCCAAACCATATTATCCTGGATTGTCCAACAAAACATTTCAGCACTACACAAGACCGTCCAGGAGAGCAGAATGGTAGAGAACCTTGACCTGAAACAGCGAACAAAAGAAGACATGACAGCAATATCCCAGATATCATAAAGGAAAGGAGAAGTCCGCTACCTCGATCTAAAATACCAAATTGGCTTCGACATTTTCGACGAGCAACACGATCAGCCAGTGCAGGAATGATCGACCAGGCACCAGTGTTGTATTTGCAGATATCTGAATGGATTTCCAACATTGCTAGGGATTGTCTACACTAGTGTGTGTCACTTTTGACTAGCTACGGAAGGATTCCATCACCCAATATGATATCAGATTGCCATAGCAGAAGGATAGATAATCCCGCAGTACCCCTCATCTAAAGCTTTGACGTCGTTTCAGATGTCCAACACAGCACAGCACAGCACAGCCTACATCTTCCGCTGTCATGACTTAGGAACAGGACCGGGAACCAACAAGTCTTGATCACTAGCTAAGCAGAACAAGCCGCGCATCAAAGCGCGACAGCAAAGCCTCACCTACATGACTGATCACGACATACGACATCCACAGCCTTGCAGTGTAGGCCTAATATCACCATCCATTCAGACATTAGTCCACTCCCAACCAAACATCCTACCTGATCTAAACATGGCAAGTAATTCAGCGATGACTCATTTACACACAGACCACACATACAACACCTGAATCAGCAACACCCACTGGCACGGAAAATCCCTAGCAACGACTTACTCAGTAACTAACTGACTAGTTAGTTAACCCGCCTACGATCCGGAAATACCCCGAGGCCACAGCCATAGCACTAGTAATAGTAGTACCCCATTTCAGACACTACCAGATACTACTCAGCTCCACTCAGTAATAGCAGATTACTTCTAAGACAAGAGACAAACCCGCCAAGCAGATAAGCAAATCACCCAAAGATTGACTGACTAAGAGAACCAAACATCGACGACGTCATAAGCGAGCAGCACCTCATCAACTAACTAACTAGCCGAGATACACGTTAGTCGACTAGAACTAGACTAGATTACGGGATTCGACCAGACTAAGACACACGTGGCCAAATAAATAACCACCTAATAATTACCGAACTAACTAACTACATAGCTGCTGACAGCCTAGCCTAACCCGACTAACAAAAAAGAACGGAAGACGGAAGACGGAGAAGAAGAAAACGTGGGAGGGGGGTAAATCACCACCACCACCACCACCACCACAATATAGATTAATAAATAAATAAATAAATAGTAACTGTTGGTTTCAGCTCAAACCCTGTTGGATTTCAATCCTACTACATACTAGTAGTCATATCACACCACCACCACCACCACAGCCATAATAAGTTAGTTAGTAGTATCTAGTAGTTAGTAGTCACTACTAAGATGACTTTTCGCCAAGTAAATCTTGCACAGACATCCATCCATCCTGGTCATGCACACACACACACATCCTCATCCTCATCCTACTCATCCCAACCAGATCTAAAACAATCATTAGTACCTTCCTAATCTAGAGTAGTCAGGTTAAGTAAAATACTAGCAATGGGAGGGGGAGGGTCAGAAACCCCCCATGCTTAGTCCCAGCGCTAGAAAAGCACCAGAAACACGTGTTGCATGGGGGCCGTGTAGATCACTCACCTCACTCACTCCGGTCCTCGACAAAATCTTTCTTCATCATTACGGAGTGAACTACTAGTACTATCTACAGGGTGAGATTATAATCCTTGTATATTAATTGGAGGGACTATTCACTAGCCTATATAAGGGTTAGTTCAGCTGGTAAGTATGATCGGTGGGATGAAACAGGGAGTACCTTAGTAACATATGGGTGGGATGTTACTTTGATTAGAAAGATACTTGAATACTCACTAGGACATCGGGCACGGTGATCATGCATACGATCTGTCGCTTAGATAAGTGGTGAAACTGTCGTTGTTTCATCTACAACTATTATTATGTTTTTTTCTTGGCATTGCAGAGTCGAGTCGATCTCGAGAGTAGTTCATCATTAGTTTGGGTATATACCTTATCGGTTATTCGTCACAATCACATTAGGAACATCATCCCACGCACTTCAGCGTATCATGAGAAACAAGTATCAAATCAAAATCAACCAACCAAACAGTTCAGTCAGTCATGCATGCATGCAGATCAAAATAATCACTCATATCGCTAGCGTACGAAAATAAGCAACCAACCAGCCAGCCAAGCAGGCAGCTTCAGTTTCCAATCCCATCCCTCTATTTCGCCCATCCCAAGTAAAAATCCAAGACAAAAGAAAAAAGAAAATCCAAACCAAAACACCCTGGCGGTCCTATCCCAATTCATCTGATCCCGCTTTATGCCGTTTTCCGTATCCGCTCCATAGCTAATGATGATAAAATTAAAACATAGGAAAAGAATTGAAATCACTCCAAGGTTCTCCTAGTGCCATCCCCTCTCGGGTGCTGTGTTGTACCCCCCAACCATCACCGGAGTTTCTTCGTACAGCTGCATGTTTAGCCCCAGCCCGCCATTGTTCACCCGTGGCAGTCCCCCGCACACCACGTCGCCAAGATATGGGGGCGGAAACGCAGGGGAGTGCTGCAGAGATCCCGCGTGGCTGTAATCCGAGAGATCGTCACGAGGGTCCGAGAGCAGCCGTGGGGAGCTCGGATACAAGGCCTGCGACGCCGGTGCCGTCACATAGGCTCCGCTGACGTCAAACGGGGGGCTGGCGATGGTCACTTCGGGAGGGGACTGCAGAGGCGGGGTGTAAGGGGCGTACGTGGCGGAGGCGGAAGACGGAGAGGATGAAGCGAGGCGGTAATCGTGAAGGCTGTGATACGGACTGGGAGGTGCAGGAGAGTAGTGGTCAAGGGAGGTGCGCGGAGACCACTGAAGCCGGCTTTTGTACTGGGCGACGATATGACGAGGAAGGTCCATGGCAGATAATGCGAGGTGTGCGTCAGGGTGGAAAGGATCGGCCGTGCTTCGAGCAACTACCATGCGGTAGATTTCTTCGATCGGACTGATGGAGAGCGGGCCCAGGTAGGCACCACCCAAGTCAGGAAAGAGGCTGTCGAGGACCACTCCAACACCGAAGAACTGGGCCAAAATGGCTAGCGACCCGATGTCGGCATCTTCAGGTCGCAGCATAGCAGGCGGAAGCCAGAACAGCCACCTCCGTAGCGGCTGCATGCGCTCAAAGGCCTGTTCGGGGGTTTGAGAGAGGAGATCTCGTTGGAAGTGTCGTACAAACTCCAGGAGTTCCCCGATGCGGCGGTAGTGCTCATAGTTATGTGCAACCCGCTTCTGCAGGGCCTGGAGTGCCACGACGGTTTGGTCGAGGCTGGCCAAATCTTCGTCTTGGAACTGGTAGCCCGACATGACGGGAGTGTTGGTGCACCCCAGGTACCGCTGATTTTCCAAGAACATAGCCAACTCGGACTCCTGCTTCCACATCGGATGCATGGAACCCAGTACCTGCTTCGGGTCAGTCTCGCCATCAGCGTACAAAATAAAGATGCTTACCGTCGTAAGACCCTGCTGCAAAGACGCCCAGCTCTGCCACTCCGACGCATGCCACGACAAAATAATCGAGGCAGCCAGAATTGCATCGCAGTTGTCCTTCGAAAACGCCCCCAGGGCATTATGTAGGCCCTGGATAGCAACACCGCGGTGGTGGTAGGCAAGTTGTTTCGTCTCCTGGTTGCGGGTGATCCAGGCGAGGTGGGAGGCGGACATGGTGAGGATGGCGCTCATGACAAAGTCGTTAGAAATGGCAATAGCAAGAAACCTATACAAACATCAGTAAATCTGCCACCCTATTTGCTCATCAGGCCGCACTTACGTAGGCATCTTCTGCGCCCAGATGGTGCAGCTAGCGAGACCGCGTCGCTGGAGATCAATAGACAGACCAACAATGTGATGAATCAGGCGCAGATCAGTCAGCGAGAGCTTCGTCCAGCAGGTACGCGGGAACTGCAGCAGCTCAGCAAACGGAGCCACGCCGGTGAACTGCCAGTTTTTGATCTCCATTTCGATTTCGGCGGACATGAGCAGGTCGGGTACGTTGCGCATAGAGGATGCATCGTCGTGGACCGTGGCAACATCCATGTAGTCGCAGCGACAGTTGTGCTTGGTGCAGTTCCGGCTGGTGATGGTCAGCAGCGATTCCACGCAGCTGCAGTTTGCAGAAGGCAAACAACAAGTACACATACCATTGTGGGAAAGTTTCGTCACAGCGGATGTGCCGCCGCTTGCATGTCTTGCAGCCGAAGCGAGACTTGGTGTGGCTCTTGCGAGGAGGGCCACCACCGGGACCAGCCATGGCGACGATGAAGGCTAACGAAACGGTGGGATCGAGGGAGAGAACAGAGAGAGTTGCGGTGGGGTCAAAGACGAAGCGATGAAACAATCACGAAAGAGTCAAAGCTTGAGCACAGTGACTGTCTCAGGCAAGGAGGAGAAGCAGTAATAGGAATAGTGACAGTTGACAGGAAGAAAGATGGGGTGGGAGGGGAGAGACCAGATGCGGAGATGGGCCAGGCCGGGATATTATAAGAAGTACGAGCAGAAGATGATAAACCCAATCTGATCGGAGGCCAGAAATTACAGCCCACGGTTGGCTCAGTAAATGCGGCGTCCAAAAATAACCTCGAGCCGCAGCCCCAGTGAAGAGCAGCAGAGATACACACGTGGGGAATACGAGAAAACGGTGGAGGGCAAGTGAGTAAAGTAAAAGAAATTCTTTTTTATTTTGCTTTTCCTTTTTCTTTTTTTCTTTTCTCTCTGATGTCCCTGCGTCAAGCCGAAAGGAGTATAGAGGAGAAGGAAGAAAAAGTAGAAAGACAAAAAGAGGCAAGGTCGTCAGGCGGGGACTGGGAGGAAAGACCAGCAGTAGCAGCAATACTAGCAGGTATTAAGTAGTATAAGATGAAGGCGGAGGATTGGGGAACAATCAACAGGTCAGGACCAACCGGCCGGTAAAGGACGAGAGGAAGCTGCAGCCACAATTTTCCCTCCTTCAGCTGCGGGTCGAGGGACCGCGATGGTGGATTTGGTAATTTTAAAAGAGAATGAAACCAGAATAAGGAATTATAGGGAAGAAAGTGTAAATAAATTATATTTATAAAAGAGAACGAGAAAAGAGAAAAAAAGAAAAAAAGGAAAATACTACTTAAGTAACTAGAATAAGTAACGAAATCGTCTGCATTTCAGGGGACGAGAGAAGAAAAGAAAATAATAAAAATGCCAAAAAGAGGAAATCATACTAAAATACTTACCTTAGGGGAAGAGAAGAAAGCCAAGAAACCTAGACATCAAACGAGAAAAGAATAATAATCAAAAAATAAAATAAAATAAAACCACTATTACTATAATTTCGAGTAATAATAATAATAATACTAATAATAATAATCATAATCATTAAAACACAACCCAGACAATCAGTCAGGGTGGAATCTCTGGGGTTAGCGAAAGCCAAGATGTTGAGCGCCACGGTACGACCGGTCAGATGCTGATCTCCAGACAGTCCTCACAGCCAGTCATGAATGGAGCAGTGCCGGAAAAGGAGAGAAAAAGAAAATACTGCCACCACGATGGTCGATCTGGATGCTCAGAGAAACTGTGCAAGCCAGGGAAAAGAAAAAAGCATGATGATGGTGGTGGGGGGGGTAATGAAATCCGTCGAGTGAGCCTAGCCCC